GGGGGGGAAGTTCCGTCACTTGGGATTACCCAAATGAAACATGAGCTAAGAGGTTTCTATTGAGGGATATAAGGTTGCCTAAGCGGAATTTCACTCGAAAAAGGGTTATTAAGGATTTAATAGTTACCCATGTAATCCCAGAGCTTTGATCAGAGGTAGTTTTATTCGGAACTTTGTAGTGATCACTTCAATTTGACCCAAGAAGTTTCCATTTAGTCACTTATGATTAGCAGATGAAATTTGATCCGGAAAAATTCCATATCTGTTAGAGCACTATAGACACACTAGACGAATTCGGGCCACAAAACTTCCCCACACTCATTTGTGGTTACCTAGTAGAATTTGATAGGGAATGTTTTTTCTATCTGCCCTAGGACGGTTCGAAAAGGGGATTGTAAAATTCAATATTCCGTACTGCACGACCCGAACTGTTCGAAATCTGTCTCTGCTGTAGGATCTCATTCAGTTCATATTGGTCTGACCCATAGAGAACAATTGTGTAAGAACTTATCCTCGTTGGGTGAACCGATCTTTCTGGGATCTCCGCCCAGTTCACAAGCGTGACAACCCCTGACTGGGTTCCTTCCACTGTTTAGTATTCCAAAATCGGCGAAGCCTGTCGTTAGAATGGTCTTAACTTTCCCGGTAGCCTCACCCCAACCTGTACTCTTTGAGCGTTACACCTCGAATTGTGCTGGGCACAAAACAACCTCAGCTCTTTTTCTAGAATATCTTAGCCAGTTGTCTCGCGGGGTAGTGGGTAGTGTTCCAGCTATATTAGATAGTTGTCCCGTCACGCAGCATGCCAGTGAGGACGATTTCTTCTGGCGGGAGTCGCGGTCCATGATATTTCGGGTATTTTTTTTCGGCAAAGAGAACCCAACTTCACTAATGTTTACCCATACTGGGAAGCAGCATCTGGACTTGGTATAATCTCGTCTTCGACCAATGCGATTGTTTCCGGCTGGGAATGCCACTGTTCGACAGAGGCTGGAAATCCTAATCTGTTCCAATAAGGGGGATAAATCATTGTGACATGGAGCCTCACCATTTCCCACATGCGTCTAGTCTATGTACTCCCTCCAACACATCCTATCTTACCTTATTTTTCATTTCAGGGTTCGTACGGCATCGTTAAATTGGCATATAACGAAGAAGATAAGAACCTCTATGCTCTGAAAGTACTGGATAAAATCAAATTGCTGAAGAATTTTGCATGTTTTCGTGAGTTTCCTCTCAGCATATCCAATCTAAATTTTCATCCGCTCAAGGCTAATGTCATTTTCGTTCCAGGAGCACCACCTGCTCGAAAATCGAAAGCACCACCGACAACGCATAAAAATCCCTTACAACTTGTTCAAAAAGAGATTGCCATACTGAAAAAGCTCAGTCATCCCAATGTTGTCAAGCTGGTTGAGGTATGTTGCTCTGTAAATCTATGTGATGCGATTTTCTACAGTGACTTCACAGGTGTTCTTCATTCATGGTTATGCTTTTCATATATTTTATTTTAAATTCGAATATTATGAGTTTTTCTTATGATCGGTCTTTTTTGTTTTTTTACAATATTAACTTTTTTCTCCACCACATTTTTGTTACTTTTGAAATTTTCATACGATTAGCTTTTCCATCTCATATATTCAAGTGTTTATGCGC